TCTGTCAAGGTGTTGCAGGATGTAATGCAGTCCCATGTTGACTGCATCGTCCACAGACAATATGCACATAATAGCGCACATTTATCTAGGTTAAATGTTTAAACTAACATTGTGATATGCTTTAAGTATTTTATATCTATAGATTTAATTTTCGGCAAGTCGTAATTACAACATCGTATGACATCGTCTCATATGATACTCATAAGTTTATTCATATTGCGTTAGCTGATAACATCAAATCAGTAAAAGAATATAAATAGCACTACGAAAGATCTCCGTGATTAGCCTGTTTTTCCCTGCTTGAGAATTTCTGTCCAATGTATGGATGACCTTAGCACACATGTGGTTTTGTTTACAATTTCTGGTTCACTTGCAAAAAGGGCAGTGTGAAAGCGAACCACACCAAACCAAAAAAATCAACATTCTATTTGGTCCGGACCAAAGCAAGTGAACTAGCAGACATTCCTGGTGTGACACCCTTAAAGTAGAAGTACTTTTCCCGCCAAGCAATACGAAATACCTCTAGTTTTGTTTTCCTCCAGCTGCGCTCCATTTTCTGGGCTGCTCTCTTTAGGGTGCGAGTGTGCTCATTATACCACGGCAACCGTATCTAAAATGCTAGAAAAGAGAGAGTCCATAGTTTCTGTTACACCATCAAGTTGTTCTGAGGTTTTGGATATGCTGAGGAATTGAGATAAATGAGGAAGATTACTTGCAAAGCAGTCTTTCTTGGTAGAAGTAATTGTTCTACCATATTTGTAAGAAGGAGTTGAGTTGAGGTCACCGTAGCCACCCAGATCCAGTCTGTATCCAGATCAGATGGTGGATCAGCGCCTAGAGACGACCTCGACAGCCCTGAGTGTCAGCGGAGACCCTGTCAGCTAGATGAGCCCCAGAGACAGATCTGACCTGTGTTGCAGCCTGGAATTAAACCATGCCATGCTGGTTTCAACTAACCAGAGGAGAACTGGCCCCCTGAAGCCATAATTTAACCATATATGCCAACGAATATTATGATATAATAAAGGCAAGTGCAGTAAACCCACAACATATTGGCCATATTATATCATAACAATCCTAAAACTAATCCTTAAAAGCAGACTAATGTATTGTGACCACTAGATGACGGCGTTGGTCAGTTATTCACCTGTTTTACTTGTTGCAAAGAAACAACACATATTTGTAATTCATTAAGAAAGGCGTTCCTTAGGAAACACATTGCTGTGTGTGTGTGTGTAGATCAGAGAACTGTAATGAGACAGAATGTGATCAGCGGTGAGTCTCTGTGTGACCGCTAGATGGCGCCACTGCTAGCTTATTCTGCCTTTGGCTGGCTTGAGTTTTTCCAGCGGTAAAATTACACACATTTGAGTTTGTTAGAGCGGGACTCTCTCTCTCTCTCTCTCTCTCTCTCTCTC